TCTTATTTTGAGTCCCCAAAGTAGACACAACCGTCTTATTGCCTCGTTTGAATGGAGAAATAAATCTCCGTGCGCCCTCGATGAACCTAGGAATATCTTTGACCCATGCTTGAATTAATTTGACACGATTTTCTGGCAAATCCTAACTACAATGACATCTTCAAATGGCTCACTTAAGATATCCATGTACGGGCTGTATACAGCCCTAAGTACAGCTGCCATAACCAGTCTGATGACTTACCCGTGGTTTACCACATCCTTAATGACTCTAAGACCAGCGTGTTACACGCGCCCATAGAACCGTTCGAATCCGTCGAGTTTGTGCCAGAACTTGGAAGCAGTACCCACAAATCCATCCAATATCTATCAAGGGGTCCGTATACCGGTAAGGATAAGACCTTGCCCCGAGCGTGAAATAGCGTATGCTGACTGTGATAAATAAACCCACTAGCAGTGACGAATTCCTTCACCTTGTTTGGCAGGACGCCAACCACAATGGTAGATCTTCCAGATACAAGTCGCGAATGGCTGCTGCTCAGGTAAAAGTGTAATTATTATTCATATAGTCTTTAGTTAATTTCCGAATCCAATACAGGAGGGAACACGTAGATATACCAAATTTCTCACGGTCCTCAGGGAAATTAACTGCGAAGCAATCGACAGCCGTTGAACTATGGATTTTGCGCCCACACTGGACTTTCATCAGAACTCCTACAACATGTGTTGATTTTTAGGGTTCAAATGAATGCCATAAAATGATAAAACCGTATATTAAATATTCCTTCGTTGAAGCTAAGATTTCAGAGAGATTTGGGCTGTGCCTCCAAGAGTCGGTCACTTTAAGCTTGTCTTAACACTTTCTTCATGATGTCCACCAAGTTTCAGGAACTAACAACGCTGTACATCCCCCGAAAAACGGTCACGGCCGGCTCCCCCCAGACAAGGAAACCACTGAGTTTATGAGGTTATATTATGCACCTCAGTTCTGGGACAATGATCCTGCTTGGCTTCGTTTTTTTTAATTCAAAAGTTTTGCCACGCAAACGAAAACCCTAATCGGTTTGGCAATTCCGTTTTGTTGTTGCTTGCCGTGTTCGCACTGTGATTACGTCACCATCCCAACAAGGTGAGAAAATGTTATTTTTAGGCGGAACCTTCTTCGTCCCATAGGATGTAAGTGAGTGTTCCGAGTGTTGATGTAACTTTAAAGGCACGGATAACTGGTTCTGGAGTTGCTTGCGGGCCGTATCTTGAGGCTTTTCTGAGATAAGGCACGCACACATCAACCAGCCAGCAAAAGGCAAATAGGAGGTCTACAAGTTTCAGCTGCCAGATAAAATGCGTGGGCAAATACCCTGAGAGGTTGACTACTGTACAGAGTCTCAATGGTGGCTGCTCATGAAGGTGCTCGTAGTAAGCGATGCGATTGGTTTTTTCCTTCATCGGGATTTCTTGCGCTTCCTAGTAGCAATGTTATTCGGCCACGACCGCATGCTAAATCAAATAATCTCTGTGCCAACCCGCTGTTAGACAAATTACATGTAATCTCACTCGCTACGTCGACTACCATACCATCCGTGCGCATGATAGTGCGGCACCTCGTGGTTTGCCAAGGTTCATCGGGATTTCGTAGCATTGTCTCCGCCACCTAAACACTCGACTCCCTTCTATTTGTTATGCACAGCTCTCCTGAAAACGTGCATATATATGGTGTGGCCTACCTGATTTGTGTTAACCTACAGTTAATTGGTGTTTGCCCGATTATTCCAGTTGGGCTGTTCCCTCGACCTGGAACTCTGAAAACGAAGGAGCCTTAACGGGATGATTTAGGAATAAGTGGCAGTGAATATGTCGGCAGTAGTATGCTACAAGGACTGTCCGGATCTGCATATGCACAGTATGTCACCAAACGGTAGCCGAACATTTTTAGCACACTCATCTAACGCGTTTAGTTTAAAACCTCATGAAATCCGAACAAGGGCATGCATGTGGTCAGTCGTCAGATTAAAGACAAATGCAAGCATTGATTGCACGCGTGAAGAGGTCGGACATTGATACACTTCGCTTTGATGTTCAAAGCCACACCCACCTTACACCAAGACCTAAGCGTACTGATACGTGTCGCATAGCAAGACCTAGTTGTGATGTGCCTACCAAATTGGCGCACTGGGAAACCTGACATTTTTGAGATGACCCAGCAAATTATACGAGCTTTTCGATGGGTTCATCATTTCACCCTAACAAGAACCAACAACTGACATTTTTAGGGGTGTTCCTTGTAGAGCACCGGCACTGGAGGCATTTTTTCCTCCCAAACGGTTGATTCTCAGTGAGGAAGTTCAGACTGCAGTTGTCAACTCATGAGTGTCCTAAAAAGGAAACATAGTTGTATTTTGTTGTCCGCTGAACGTCCGTTGTTATCGAGAGCACAATAATATCCACTGCAACCAGAATGAGTATTGGCTCGTCATGTGTCACGTCAGTTCGTTTTCTTCAATCCATATTGGAATTGTACCCAATCTAGGTGAGAACACGAAGGTTTTGCGCATTAGTTTAGTGGCATTGCCAGTGTGAGGAGCCCTTTGCTCTGACTGTCCGTAAGTGATGGTTGCAAAGATCGTTGCCCTTCAATTTTTTTCGCTGACTAGAAGCGTCTATGGAGTTTCGATCTAGAATTCCTCTGGATTCAAGACAGGAGGACGACTGTTTAAACATGACCGATGTGAACTTCAAGTCCTACAAAACACCTACAACTATGGTCGTTGGCTTGTTCGCTGAGCTGGGCAATTTAGTTGCAAACGTTTCATCACCAATCGAGGTGACATCATCAGTGCATAGCGGTGGGTTAGTGGCACACCCACTAACCCACCGCTACGCACAACTACTAACCCACCGCTACGCACAACTACGCACTGATGATGTCACCTCGATTGGTGATGAAACGTTTGCAACCAAATTGCCCAGCTCAGCGAACAAGCCAACGACCATAGTTGTAGGTGTTTTGTAGGACTTGAAGTTCACATCGGTCATGTTTAAACAGTCGTCCTCCTGTCTTGAAGCCAGAGGAATTCTAGATAAAAACTCCATAGACGCTTCTAGTCACCGAAAAAAATCCAAGGGCAACGATCTTTGCAACCATCACTGACGGATAGTCAGAGCAAAGGGCTCCTCACACTGGCAATGCCACTAAACTAATGCGCAAAACCTTCGTGTTCTCACCTAGATTGGGTACAATTCCAATATGGATTGAAGAAAACGAACTGACGTGACACATGACGAGCCAATACTCATTCTGGTTGCAGTGGATATTATTGTGCTCTCGATAACAACGGACGTTCAGCGGACAACAAAAAAGGAAACGCAATACCCATGTGTATGCGTCTAAAACCAGACAGAACAGATGCAACCCGTCATATTGACTTTCCAATATACCATATTTTAATATGTACGAGATTACAGAATATCTGGAGAACCTACTCGACTTCCCAGTATGGAGGCTTTTCAAAACAAGCTGAGCCACCCGAATTGCTTAAGCTAAAATTGCTTGCTATCTCCTATACATCTGTCGGTGTTTCTTGCTAACGCGCTATTGCTTGTCTAATCAGCAAGGACCTATCAGGTATTTTTGGTGCATCAGTTAATCTACGGGCGTCCAGTTTATTGGTAACTGGAAGACAGTGCAACTCAAACAGTTAAGAGAACAAGATTTTATTCAGTACAACAGGCCGTCAGAAGTTAGCAATGCAATGGAATTCAATTGCTGTTGGCCTTCTGGAGTTGTACTACAGAAAGCTATAGGATGTGATTTGAGGGACAATTCAGAAAGCCAGGTGGAACGAATTAAACTCAACCGGTTTGTGGGTAGACAGATGCTTGACCACTTCTCCAGGATGGTATCCTTTTATCATTACCACCTCATATATGTCGGTGAAAACCACTCAACTCACTGAACACCTGGGCAACGCGATCCCCACATAAAGAGCGCCTTCTCGTAAGGACCGTAATTCCCATCACTAAATTTCCTCCACAGGACTAAGCGGGAGCCCTTCCAAACATAACACACTGGATTTGCTCATCGTGGGCGGCCAAGCGTCTGACATTGAAGGAAGCGTCCCCCTTCATCAGTAACACATACTGACAGCCTTAATTCATTAAACCAAAAGCACCCATGCACATCAACCTTTAGTGTGGTGTTTAGTCTGGTGAACAGTACTTACTGAGTACAATAAGGCCATAGCTTTATGCGTAAGTTAGTTGGGTTAAGCTTCCTCATCCACCAGCCATTAGCTGCTAACGGCACCAGTATGCATGAATGAGTCATAACAATACTAGCACTGCTTCCCGCCTACCTCCGGAATTTGAAACCAATTGTGCAAATACGACAGGTTAGACCACCCTTGTGGCAAACACGCGCACGAACATCCATTAGCGGTATCATTGCCACACACTGTCAGGGTTATAAATCCGCCGGCTGCTCACGTGCAACCATGCTTACTCCTGAATGGGTTGAAGCGAACCAGCTACAATGAGATGGGGTGGTGAAAAGAGCACACAGCTGACGTATCCACTAGCCGGGTCTCAGGTGCTTCGGTCGTTGACCGAAGTTGCGCACCAGTGAGCCGAGAGGCGACATGAAAAGCCGAATTTGTTAAAGTGTGGCTACCGTGAACAACCGAAGCATGCGCGCAACTAAATTGTCTGAACCGACACCAGTCCACGTTGCCAGAGCAACCAACAACCTCTTCAACAACAGATTAACCAGATTATCCTAAATACGAGGCGCGACCTCATGGTTTTACAGCAAAATACTTGGTCAAATCATGAGGAGATTCCACTGAGGTTTATCTGAACAACCAAAAAAAAAACAAATTACCATGGCCAACTCAACCAAAAAAAAAACAAATTACCAATGGCCAACTCAAGCCCCTTAGGAAACGCAACCCAGTCCGGCAGCTTCAACACACACTGTGGGCCTATCACTGAAGGATATGAGCTGTGGTCAGGGACTGAAGCAAGGCAAGAATTCATAGTTGAACAGATTATTGGCCATCTAGAGACGAACATGTGGACCGAATAAACATCGCAAGCGAAAATTGCTTTCAAAAGAGTTCAAATACGAGCGATATGCAACGAAGTGGGAAAAGGGCTTTTGAACAGACGGAGGCTAAATTCCCCGTATTATATGGCGGGAGACCAATCAATTTTTCAAGTGGTGTCCAGAAACTGAACGTGGGGAAGTATGACCGACCAAAGCGGTCCAAAGTAGTAAAAAGCGAAATGACCTTGTGGGCGAAACAAACTTGTAGGTGAGATAAAATGGGTGATGCTCCCCGTGGTGGCTGAATTTTTCATTAGAGTTCAAAAGGCTAATCAGTAGTCAAGATGGTGATTAAAAACCCACATGGTAGTGGAAACAGAGGGATGCGAAAACGAGCCGATAGGTGTATCGATTCACAGGAAAATACACGGCGACAGGATGTTTTAAAAGCATTGTGCTGACAACATCAGCATTATGTAGTATAACGAGTAAAGTAAATGTAATAGGCATGAGAATAGGAACATTACTAGCATTGTGGAAACCTAGTAAAACAAGGAACGAACAAGCAGTAGAGCAAATCCGGACGAAATCATTGACTGAAACAAACGAAACCGTCGAAACAGGCGATTTTCAGGAAAGAGGACGCGAAATGTTCTAAGAGGTGCTTCGGGGATGTTCTGAAAACAGAGGCAGAAAAATGTGAGTAATCTAAGTAAGATAAATTAATACATTAGCAACTGTTAAGCTCACATCATTCTGGTTGTGTTGCACCGACACGATACCATTTTAGAGACAGCAGCGGAATACAGTAGTGGAAGGGGCTAACGTTAGTGCACACTGATTGGCGTTGGCAATGAGCCGGGACTTACTGAAATGAAACAGTTCCGCAGCTCCTAACCTGCTCCGTTATCTGACTCACGGCATGGTCTGTCAGAACTGCTTGTCTGTGTCCCATGAACAGATGGTTGATGGGAGCTGACGCTGGACGAACTGTTGGAATACGACTGGATAAGATGTTGCATCTGGGCAGCCATAAGTGAAGCAACTAACGACACAGAAGGACTGGCTTCGGAGGCCTTTAGCATTTCACGATTAACCGCACCTACACGTCGCTCCATGTCGCCAGAACTGCTTGCCAACTGGCTACCTAAACTGCTTTCTCCGGATTCCAATGGAGCACTGCTTGTCTCATCGTCTAAATGTTGTTTATGTAAGGCCTGAAGACCAGCAATCAGATCGCGCAGACTAGTTTCATTCTGTCCAAAGGCCAGTTGCCGCTCCTCCTCCGACAGATCACCCCGACTGCCTTCACAAGAAGCTTCCAAACGAAGGAAGTTCAGCAGAGAGGAGTGACTGCTAGCTGGTCTCAAATGACCGGACCCACCAGTTGGATCCATCATGCCTGTTTCCGAAGGCGAGCTGGCAAACGATGACCGCTTCTGAACACGGTCAGATTCAGAACCCTGAACTGATATGTCTTCTTCCGGATTGGTAGTTTCACTGGATCTGAGTTGCTGCAATAGCTGGTGCAGCAATCTACGTGAGGCCAACGCACGCCCGTCGCTTGAGGCTGACGGACTAAAATCGGCGCTATCCCAGCTGCCGCCAGGATGAGCACTGGCCAGTGAAGACGAGAGAAGTGAATATTCAGAAACTTCAGGAATTGGTGTGAGTGAAACGGGTTGTTGAACCAATGACCGATTGGACAGAATCTCACTCAGTACGTTTTCGTACGTGTCTTCAAAGGTCTCTATATCTGCGGCAGCGGTAGCAGCATCAGGACCTGAACCAAGACTCTCGGTAATGTAGGGTCCTACTTGCCATGCATTCGTAAACGAGAAGCACATACCAGAACGCACAAAGCAAACGCAACATCACGAAGCAATGAGAGTGAGCGATTAAGGGGTCACGACAAGCCATTATTTTTTTTTTTGGGGGGGGGGGGCGGGAAA